ATCACTGGAAAAAATCGCGCGCCATAAAGGTTGTAAATTTGATGGAAATATGATGTAAGTGTCCAAAATGATGTAAATTTGATGGAAATGATTTACATCAAATTTACATCATTTTGGACACTTACATCATATATACATCAAATTTACAACCTTTAAAGCGCGCGATTTTTTCCAGTGGAATGGAAAAAAAATTCTCTGGACTGCTGAGAAACTAATTAGTTACGTATTGTAACATTTTCACAGACAGCCAAAATGTCCTCTTGACAAGGAGTCTTTGACTTCACAGCAGGTAAGGTATTCTATGAACAATCATTTTATATTTCTATGCGGAAGAAACTAACTTAAGAACCTTTTTTCAAAGATATTCGAAGATGTAGCGACCGAGCGACAAATTCTTTCACTCAAGATAAAGTGTCCAAACGATTGTGATTGGCAGGGAGAAATGAGAGATCTCAAGGTATATGAGAGAGTAGTTCCTAATTTATAAATACTCTACAAGAAATGACGACAAAGCCAGCAGCAATTACAACAACAGTATTAATAACAGCAAAATACGTTATATAAAAAAGTTGGTTCTGCGTTTTAAACTGTACTTTAATTAAGTATTGATCGTGATGAGGTAGTCTACGCCGTCTCGTCTCATTAGTTTTTTTTAGTATTTTTATTTTATTTCACAATTAAGTCGATCTTATGACTATAAAATAAAATGTTATTCGATAAAAAATGCTTTCAGCCCGTCATTAAGTCGTATGCTAACGGGTATGTTTATGTACTTGTTTTACAGGATCATGTTGAAAAATGTCTGCTGACCATTGTCCCCTGCAGTTACATCAGTATTGGATGCAATTTTAAGGCAACTAAAAAAATTGATTCATCGCTCTCATATGTTCTGTATGTTTTTTATTGATTATTTGTGATTATCGTTATTTCAAGGGACCAAGAAGAAGTTTAAGCGATCATTATAAAAACAACTTGGCAGACCATCTTACCATCACGACGCAACAACTTTTGACCCTTCGAGGTGAAGTTTTGGAACTCAAGGCGTCTAGCATTGCACTGATGACCAAAGACGATCAGTCACACTATAGCTACACGTGGAAAATCAACGATTTCAGCAAACAGCTATACAGCTTGCAAAGCAGCAAGACCGTGACATCGAACTGTACAGCGAACCGTTCTACACTCACAAGTATGGATACAAACTGAAACTCGAGTTGGATCCTAATGGATATGGTGATATGGCAAGGGTACCCATGTATCAGTATTCATGATTATCATGCGAGGTGAATACGATGCAATATTGACCTGGCCATTTAATTGGAAAAACAAGTTTATCCTGCTTGACCAGAAACCATACCACTCGATGAGAAAAAACATCGACGATGGTTACAGTATTCCCGATACAAGTAACTGTAGCTATCAAAGACCAACAACTAATGAAAGCGTTGGAATAGGACGTCCCGAATTCGTTTCTCATGGAACATTAAAAACTGAGAACTATGTCGTCGATGGAGCAGTTTTCATCAAGTTTGAGTTGGATTCTTCTGTGCCAAACTGAAACGATTTCGAAAACTTTAAAATCTAACACAACTTCTGAAAAAGGTAACCTGACGTTTACCGAAGCTTATCGGTCTTGTACAGAGTACATAAGTTTCCTATATTTTATTCCCTTCATTGTTTTGACGGCTAAAACTCGGTAACGATTTTCTGATATTTGGAGGGAGTGTCAGTAAAAATCCCGGAAAACTTTTACAAATCATATTGCGGTACTGACAGCATTATTGTGTATTTGTATCTTAATGTCATGTAAATCACTGTAAAATATTGCGCACTGTAAAAAAAGGTTGTTAGGTAAACTATTAAATTAGGAACTCTATGAAAACCACTTACGTGAGAGTTTTTCCAAATGAAATATTGTTTTTTTTTTTCAAACGAACGCTTAAGGGGATTGTGGACGAGGTTAACTGTCAAGAAAAAATGGACAACTCGGAGGCTTATGAAGGTAAAGGCTTTGCCAAAAGGTATGCATTGCCAGACCTTTTGGTCAAGATGGCGACGCGCATGCGTTATAACGCACAAAGATAAACAAAATGGCTTCCATTTTGTATAAGGGAATATTTGTATGGCCAAGAATA